TGTTTTTTTTTTTTTTTTGTACAAAAAAGCTTAAAGTATGCCTAATCATATCTTGTTATTTTATTAAGGAAGTTATTTTTATATTTTGGTCTCTTTTTCTTAGGCGACTATGCTTTATTTGAGATGGGGTCTTACTGTATTGCCCAGCCTGGCCTAGAATTCCCCATGTAGTCCAGGCTGGCTGCAAACGCACAATCTGCCTTTAGAATGCTGCGATACATATGAGTCACAATGCTTAATTATCCACTGTGCAAGTAAAATGTAGCTTCTTAGTAGAAAATGTAATATTCTTTATTGTGGAAGCCTTTTCATTGATTTGAGAACTTGATAAATTGAGATTTCAGGAATTAAACTCATCTTCAGCTTCAAGTTCAATGCCTTCCTCGGCTACATCAACCCCAGTCTCAAAACAAAGCAAAGTGAAACAACAAAGAGAATTTGATTCAGTTTTTCAATTCTTTAATTCACAAGCTAGAAATAAGTGATTTCAATCATGCATATAAAAAATGTGTGTGCTTGTCTGTCTGATGGTTCAGGTTTTTATTTGTTTCTGACAGAGTCCAGTATTTCCTCAGTGAGTTCATTGACCAGCTCTGATTCTGCAAATTTCCTAGTAGATGACAAATCTCTGCAAGGTGCCCAGTTTATTTCTTACCACTGTTCTCATCTTTCCCCTTTCTTTAAATTTCTAGGCTCGGTTTGTTAATATTTTTAATGTCAATTTTATTTGATAGAATTAACTGATGTGGCAGAATCCACCTGGTGGTTTAAATCTTTTTTCCATTCTGAACCTGTACTTTCAAATGTGAAAAGTCAAGATCCATCTGCTAGTGGGTGAGTTTTGACCTCTTTTGATGGTGTTTGTTCTTACTTCCCTGGAGGAACAATGCAGGTGATGACTTTCATGGAAATGTGTGCTGTAATATGCACTGCTTCTGTGATGGTCTGAGGCTTTGGTGTGCTTCCAGCTGCAGGTCTAGGCTCACCCATTGTAACCAGCTGTCAGTAAGGCTGTGAGCATGTCTACTGGCCAAGTCAGGTGGTAATTTGCATCACTGTTTAGCTAGAGATGGACTGGGAATCACCAGCAAGGTTCTGATTTGTTTTTCCAAAGCTGTTAAGAAAAGCATTAACTGAATTTTGACTGCTGTCCTAGAGAGCCTTCATCTGTGCCCCTGCTGGTTTTGATTAGCCTCTGCATGGTACCTATTACCAGACAGACTGAGTTGATGATGGGTCTGCACTAACCTTTCGCTTATACTTTGAACTTTAACACATTGAATAGTGATGTTATTACAATATTTTTGAAAAGTGCTTGTTTGATATTTTAGAAACTATAATATCCCACTACTCAGTGGAACAGAAACAATATACATTGTGATGTAGGTCATAGATTTTGAGGCTAAAACAATGGTTTGCAGGAATTTCCTAAATAATATAAATTTGAAACAGAATATTTAAAATAATCTTTAAAAATCAGAATTTTTAAATTTTCCCTATCAAATTTATTGATTTAAAATTTCAGTCTCTGCAGCATTTTACAGCATTCTTCAGCTAGTCACGTTGACGTGCTCACGTCATGGTAATG